TGTGTTTTCCTAGTGTTGGTTATAGCAGGAATGTTGCATGGCCTAGCCCACAAGTCTTAAGTTTGTGACAACTCTGGCCATTTATCAGCTTGGCTTGACACATGCCATCATGCATTGACTAGCTCAATGGTCCTGATAGGGTTTCTTTGCTGTCAGTCATAAGTTTGTTTGTGCACCATGTGTCTGGATCGTGACAACTCAGCACAGGGGTTCACTTACCTTTTTGGCCAAAAACTGGCCTGGCCATTTATCAGCTTGGCTTGACACATGCCATCATGCATTGACTAGCTCAATGGTCCTGATAGGGTTTCTTTGCTGTCAGTCATAAGTTTGTTTGTGCACCATGTGTCTGGAGGCCATAAACACCAAACAAAGAGATTGTTAGATGGCAAAGTTGGTTTAATTTGAGGTTTGGGGTTTTGAGTATTTGTTGTTTATTGATCAGTTATTGACATACTGAATCGTTATATTTTGTTGACTTGATGGTGCATTTGCTTTAGCCGAGTTTGCATCTTGGTTATGTTGTATTTGGATGTTCAGAACGATTATCGGACTTATCCACATATACATGCATAATTAATCTGGAGTTTAGGCCTCATTGCTATGTACAAACATGATCAATTGATCATTATTAGATAAACATGATTACATTTTTTTTGTTCTGTTATTGGAGTAACAGGAATTAAAGATCAGACCATCACCCATTGTATTCGCTGCTTTTTCTGGGGGACCAAAAGGTTGCATGTATAAGGTTCTTCAGGTTTGTTTCTTGGTCCAAGATAGACTGTTTTTGCTATAATTTCTTAATCTCATCAACTTTGATTGTAAGCATTAGTATCTTTTCTTTGTTCCAGTTGATCAATGGACGATGCAAAGGATTATTGGATCTGGTATGCTCATGCTTTACAAGTTAAAATCCCAGTTCACTTGTTGTCACCTATCGCACTGCAATCATTTGTAGGGCTATCTAGAACTGTTAACCAATGACAATCTAGAACTGCTAACCAGTTTTAACAGATACCTTAGGGTGACCAGTGAGATACAATTTGTGTTTCCTGTTGTAGCTTTGTATCCTGCAGCTGTTAGTCCACTAACAAGCCGGATAATTATTTGTTCCGTTAGTCTCTTGCAACTGAAGTATCTTTTGTCTAAAATATTCTGGTACATCTTGAAGGATGAATATCAGCTTGTAAAGGACTGCTTATGTGGTCAAATATACGATTCAAGTCCAGTGGACTTTACAAGTGATCTGGGCACTCGATTTCTTCTTCACCCATCTGTTCTGAAAAGGCCCCACCCACCTAGAGTTGTGTCATGGATGGCAAAAGCCTTGGCATCTGGTCTGGACACTTTATTCATAAGCAGATTTGAAGCTGAACGTGCTGATTATTGGCAGACTCTGTACTCATCAGTTGTAAGACTCCATTTCTTTTTCCAAATTCATTTGTCTACATAAAGCTATCCATCTCTAAGACTAACCGGTTCAGTAAAACAATGATATGCAGAATGTTGGCCCATTCCTCATATTTTGCTCAGAAGATGATGAACTTGCCCCCTACCAAGTCATTTGTAATTTTGCTCAACACCTACAGGAGCTTGGCGGTGATGTGAAACTAATAAAATGGAACAGTTCCCCTCATGTCGGTATGTTCAATTTGTAACTGTAGTCTGTGATGTGTTAATGATGTTTTTATGGTCTTTGAAGTTTAAATTGAGGTTCTAGTTAGGTTTAATTTTGTTATGATAATAATCCAGTCATTTAATAGCCAAACCGGTAGAGCTAAAAGTAAATATAATGAATGCTATCACAGAGTACCTAATAGAAGATTGAAAGAAACTCTTGATATGTTAGAAATTGTACCCAAAAGGTCATGCCGAATTGTTAATTCTTACATGCATATTGACTTTCACATAAAGTTTAAGATTCCCTTATGACTATAAGGGAGTGCATATAGAACTTGAATTGGATGACCTTACACAAATACTAATATATATATATATATATATATATTCAGCAGTTAACATTATTCTGAGGTTTATGTGTGTGAATATAGGGTCAGTTTTGTTGTAAGTTTGGCTTATCATTGTCAGCCGAGGAGATTGGAATGAAATGCTGAAGTATTTCACTTCTGCCACTAGTGGAAAATGAAACCAAAATGAAAATTTTGAATTTTGACTTGCTCTCATGTGATAGGTGATTATACAGCACTAGGGCCTACTTTTCTTTGCATAAAGTGGTTTTTGAATACATATGCTTCCATGTTAGTGTGAACTGTTCTACAATTTGTTTGTAATGTTGCTGGACTGATTTATTTTACAGGCCACTACAAATTTCATGCATCTGATTATAGAGCTGGTGTCTTTGAGTTGGTTGGCAAGGCAGCTATGATCTATGCACAGAGAAGGCTGCAATCACAGGGCTTGGAGGGTCCTTCGATATCTGAGTCAGTTTGCAATCTTCATAAAGCTGCAGCGAGCTCTAGTGAGAGCCTAAGGAGGGTAGCAACTGACCCAAGTGATCATTTCTTCTTGCCAAGCTCCATGGAGTGCGAGGATAAGAAAGACACAAACCTACAAAAAGGAGAGCTGTTCCACACACAGAACATGCCGAGCATCAATGCTCATGGTGTTCTGGGCCAGATACTTTTTGATATATGCGTTCCTAAGAATATAGAAGGCTGGGATATAAAGCCCTCTACATCACTGAATGGAAGGCAAACATTTGCTGTGGCACGGCGACACGGCCTTTTCTATCCAATGAAGTGCATACGACGATCGAGATTGTAGAATCTTTGGCTCAAGAGGAAAGGAAAAATAAAAGAATTTTCTGTGGAATCTGATGGATGCTAATATGTTGTCGCACTTCGAACTAAAGATAAGAAGCCACAAAATAAAGACAAAAAAATAAATAAATTCATGATGGAATGTACAGCAACTTCAGTGTTTGTAGTTTTCCTTGGATGTGTGGCAATGTGAGGCTACTAGCTAAGAACAGCAGATATTCATAAGATTGTCTGATTTTGTTGAATGTACAGTAACTTCAGTGTCACTAGTTGTCCCTCTTGGAATCATGGAAATGTGAGTTTATCTAAGAACAGCAGAGAGTGTATCTTTGTTTCACTTGGTACAGAATCTTTGGCTGCCTATTTTCCACTTGCAACAACCAACATCTAGGAAGACTTGAAAACTGTAAAAGATGGCAATAATATCCATCGCGGAGCATTGTTCCTCTGTCAGTGACAGAAAGTATCCATGGCTTACAATTGATATGATTCGCCAAAACAATTCAGCAGAGATGTTTTATGCAGAGAAATTACCTTCATGGTGGATCTGAAACACCAACTCACATCAAAGCTTGAAGAAAGTTCTGCTCATCAAACTTGGCAGATGTCAAAGCTAAACTTGGTAACGGGGTTAAACAAACAAACAGTGCCATAAGGAACAGGGCATGAATGTTGGCAAGATAAATTAGGATATTATAATGAGTCTCCCAGAGTTGAATGGCTAGACTGCAACATCATGGATGTGATTCTTCATTATGTGTATCAGCATGTTGTCCCATACAGTAGCAGAGATCTGAAAACAGGGGGTCATGAGAAGGAAATGAAGAATCAAATATCATCACACTGGTCCACATGGGACATGAAGGAATGAGAATTGACTTGACTTTGAATTCAAAGGCCAGATGTTCACACAACAGTATGGCAAGAAAAGTCAGGTCAGGTTCTTCATCCTTACTGTCAGCTCTGTTTCTGAAAGAATTGAATTCTGATCCACCATGATATCTTCAGCATATAGAAGTTTCAGGTTATTAATTCACCTGGGGAACTTGAAGACAATGAGAAGAGGATTTCCAAAAGCTTCACAGAGGGTCCAACTTCTGAACAGATACATATCAATCAGCTAATTAACTTGTCTTAGAGACTAATGCATTGTCATGTTAAAAGTTCAGTTTGTCCTTCCTGTCTCTCTTGCAGTTCTGCATGTGCCTGGGAATGTTTTGCTTCTCTTCTGTGATCATTGTATGACTCCCAACATTTCCATGAACTGGAAGTCCTTGGTAACTATAAGCTGAGCAGTCAGTGAAAATTATCTTAATGAAGAAATGGGAAGAGCAGTTTCCTTCTAAGCAAGCTATAGATAACATTCACAACCTCAATGATGGATAGTTCATTGACTTCATTCAACTGAATGCATTCATTTCAGCAACATTGACCTTACACTGATCAGCAAAGCACATTTGTTATGCCTACTTCTGGTACTGGTACTGTGGATATAACTTCATCTTCAAGCTTACAAGGGGGAAAAAAATGTTAGGTTTCACCAATAGTGATGCCAAAGTTATGTCCAATCTACATTCTGAACTACCACATCTGTGGAAATTGTTTTGGGTGGATGGGAGCATTATTCTTGGTGTCTAAGTAAAGCAATTCTTGGAGATGAGAGCCAGTTGAGTTGAGGAGACAGAGAAACACCTCAACTTGATGGTAAGCAACATCTACACCATACATACACCCCACAACTGGTAGGCCTAACACAAATGAATCTTATGTAAGCTTTCCATATCTTCCACACAAAGATTGCTTCACAAGATTCATTCTTGTAAGCTACCCCAAAGATGGTTCTTTTTGCATCTTGAAGTTTGTCTTACCATCATGTCTTGATGCTTCCACCCGTATCACTCTAAATTAAATTACTCGAGTAAACATCCTGTGACAGGTTTTGAGCAAGATAGATAGTTCATTTACCTTACTTATAAACAAGGTATTATTTATTGTTTTATCGTGCTTATGTGATCTCCAGTTTACTTAGTTTGCCAATTTGAAATCCTCATCCTGTTCTTGGAACATTTGCAGCCCCTATGACTGACTCATCTTTGTGAGAAGACAACACAAACAAGTGTTTGATCCATCCTCAACTTTCCATGAGCACCCTTACTCTTTCCTTTCCTTCATCACATTCCACAACTGATGGATGTTGCAATCCACTCAATGGACTTGTTCTCCACTCTAAACTTTATTCCATATGGTATGAATCACATATATAATCTATCAAAAAGGAAAGAGAAATGTGAACTGTATCCACACGACAGTGAACAGGAAGGATGACTAAGCTCACGGCATTCCATGCTCACACTTGAAGAAAGAGCTCACTGCTTTGTCACGTTCCTGCCGTCCCCTGAAACCCACAACCTCCAATGCCCATCTCCAAACCCAAACTCCTCCGCCTCCCGCCGCTCCTGCTCCAGCTCCTCCCTCCTCGCCGCCGGTAGCCCACAGAACTCGTGCAGCCGTTCGTCCATCTGATCATGCAACCTCCACCACGTCGCGTGCGCCGCGTCGCTCGCGTAGGCTCGCTGATCCCCGATGTTCCAGTTGCAGTCGTACTCCCTGTAGCACATCCACGGCTTTATGCCGAGGTAGTGGATCGAGTACAGCTTCGGCGGGTCGGAGGCGAAGAGGTGGTTCTTCATGCTCGCCTCCGCCGTGGTGTTCGACCAGAAGTTCTTGAGGAAGTTGACGCGCCTCGGCAGGCGGTGCCACCACACGAACACCTCGTTGAGGAACCCCTGGTCACCGCCGTTGTACGAGACGACGTCCTCCCGGAGCGCCATCAGCGCTTTGAAGGTGCAGTTCGACGGCTCGATGACCATGACGCCGGAGTTGAAGATGACGCCGTCGTTACCGGTGGCGGATATCTGCGGGAAGCGGAAGAGGACGTCGAGGCTGCGGAGGACGAGGATGTCGGCGTCGATGAAGACGACCTTGTGGTAATCGGTGAGCTGCCACAGGCGGAGCTTGCTGTAGTTGTACTCGTTGTAGGTGCCGCGCTGGGCGCGCGGGTTGCGGATGCGCTCGATCTCACGGAGGGTCCACCCGGCGGCGGCGAGCCCACGCAGCTTGTGGGGGGCGACGGTGTTGTCGTGGAGCAGGACGAGGTCGCGGGTGGAGCCGGTTCTGACGATGCTGTGAGCCAGCGCGACCGCGCCGCACACGTACGTGTCGGAGGAATGCAGCACGGTCGCGTAGGCCTCGCGGCGGCGCGGGGTCGCCGCCTCCGCCAGCTTCGATGCGTCGTAGACCACGTCCGTTCCTGCAAAACAGTCATGCAGAGATGTCATCATCTCAGTATGAATCGAACGGAAGTACGTAAACGCCATTCTACAGTGGATTTGGACCGAATGAGTGCGAAGGTCCAGCTTTGGCATACGAGTGCATGTGGCATTGAAGGAAGGGAAGGGAACAATGTGTACTTTCATAAATATAAAAATCTTAATATTATTTTTAAAAATATAAGAATCGAAATACTAAGAATAATTAATTACATATGTAATTATCCCATTGGCCACACACTACTACTACTGATTGCTTAGCTTATGATAGAAGAAATTATTTGATGACCACAAAATTTCATACTACTAATATCTTGTACACCATAACAAAATAAAAGAAATTATTTAATGAAAATAAGATCCTGAATTCTCTCAATCAGGAAAAGAAAATTCAAAACATCAAGTGTGCTGACCTACCTAATCAAACAAACATAAGAAAAGATCTCTCTAGCACAAGAAGGCCAACTTGCTTCTGAGCAAGCAAGAGAAATCCTTATCAAAGTATTGGAAGCTCTTCATCAAAGAAAGAATAGATGGAACTCTTGATTCCTTCAGGGAAAAGTATCAGTGTGATCTGTGAAGCAAAGTGCAAAGCCTTGCTTCCAAGTCTGGCCAAACCAACCTCAGAAACAACCAGGCTTTGATGGGGACACATCTCTAGGTTTGTGGTGTATGCAATGTGTTCCCACTTCTGTGTCAAGTGAACCTTCAAGTTGAAGGAAGAAGAACACCACCTGAGATATTGATGTTATTGCCCAACCATTCTTCCAATCCTCCTCCTCCTACTCAGTCCCCATTTAACTCCACCAAGAAGATGAGCCCATGGCTAAAGAGAACAGAAGAAAAGATCCAGGAAGGTACTGACTCAGCATCTTAGATAAAAGCTAAAGCAGTAAAAAGGTCAGCACAAGAACATGCCAACACACACAGCAATTGATTGAAGTACTTTGTCCTTCTCACACACTGTTAAGAAAGTGAGGCAGGATCCATTAATGCCACCGACTGCAATCTGGCCATTTCTTCCTCCCCTCCACCCAATTGAAGCTTTTCCCTACCTCATGTGCTTCAACTTATTAGGGACAAACCTATCAGAAACACCTTTCATCGCTACTATTGCAACCTCTGTAGAGATCAAGCCATCTAATAAATGCTAGGCTACCAACAATAAGATTCTTGATGGTTATATAACTTCATATCCCATGCTTTTTTTCTCATATGGTACACTATGTCTAATGCATTCAAACCTCTCTTACTACATGTCACAATGATCCCTCTATTGGGGTGGACCCAATATTGTGGACTCCATGATGGACAAGAAAATAATATTCCAAATTAAAGTTGCAATATTCTCTCTACTACTACTCAATAAAAAAATGATAATTAGGAGCAATTTAAATCTTCTGCAGTGTATGTTGAGAAATACCACCAATATTTCATAGTCATATAATGTCTATATTTCTATATGAATGCATCACAAATATAATTCTAGTAGTTCAAATTCTGCTCTTCGGGAACCAAAAACAACACTAACTTCATTGGCACTAAAACAAGTTAAAGAATCATATGGTATGGATCATTAATTGTAGCAGTCTAGATTATACTTTTCATGCTATATGAATTGTTTTTCATAAGATTTCATCTGAATGATTAATTAGTTTCTCAGGAGTTAAATCTGTGAGTGTGATGGAGGAGGAGATGAGGATGGTGAAGGAGAAGGAAGAGGTCCAACAGGTTCTTACCTTTGTCCCACAGTGGCAAGGCCAGGTTGCAGGAGCCGATGGGCAAGGCGAGCTTCTCCTCCAACCTCCATGCCTCCGCCTCGTACATCCACCACTCACCTTCTCTCGCCACCAGGTCGTCGCACCGGAACAGTTCCATCATCGGCCGGCAGGCGCTCAGCAGCACCACCTTCACCGCCCCTCGGGCGTCCCTACGCCCCCTCTGCGCCGCAGCGGCCGCCGCCACTAGGTGGACCTGCAGCCGCGACAAGTCGCGCGCCCACCCGGCCGTCTCCGCACGCCAGCATGGCAGCTTGGCGACGACCATGCCCACCTCGCCGCACGAGGAGAGGTCGGGCATCGGGATCTCTGGACACGATGGGCCCTCGTTCTCCTCCTCCTCGTCGATCCATTCCGGGAACAGGTCCTTCCACTGGAAGTTGTCGGAGATGGGCTCGAAGTCCACGGCCGTCGTGCCGCTGGGGAGACCCCAGTCGAGGGCTTCCTCGGCTCCGACGTTCACCAGGGCAACCTTCATGCCGCCATGCAATCTCTTGAGGAAGCTTGGGACCGTCTCCATCGTCGTCCGGTTCTCTCGCGCAGCCTGCAGCCGGATCGATCCTTCCGCCTGCAAATGCCAGCATGAGGAGCTTCCCAAGGGAGATTTCGACTTCTCAAGATCACTAGGTCTTTTGGCCTCGGGAGTGTGACAGAGAGGACTCGAGGACGAGCACTCACCTTACCTTCTTCACGTGGCAGCCGCGCAAGGAACAAGAGACCATCTTGGTGGCGTTCTGGTTGTACAGCGACGCAGGTTGTAGGACGAGCAGCAGGATGTAGGCGAAGATGAAGAAGCCGAGGAAGGCTACATTAATCTTGATCACCAGAGCTTTCGATGCAACAGCTTTCATCATCTCCCCTCCAAAGCCCATGCTCTCTCTCTCTCTC